TTAAAACACCTGAAACCCTTACTTTTTCTATAGTATAATCTTCGCCTAGACATGTTGGAATGTAATCTAATTAAAAGGTTTTCTGTAGAGTTCTCAAGTGAGATTTTCGAGTTATTACTAATCAAAACATTCAGGAATGTTTACTCGGCTATTCCGTAAACCTAAGCAGGAGACTAACACTCTCCAAACAATAGAGAAGCTTAATGAGGTATGTCGGTTCTCTGTTTTCGATTCCCTTGCGTGAGGAAGAAGATTCAATAGTGATTTCTTTCATTGCTTCTTTTGGTTTGACTGGTCAATTGTTCTTCCTCAGACTCTTGGCATGCTAGAGAAGAAGGAAAGTTTACTTCTCAAGAGAGCTGCTGAAGAGGTTAAAAGAGCAAAGGAATTCACCCGGGCCAAGAACAAACGAGGTAAAGACTCTAAAATCTGTTTATGATTATTATTATTATAAGAATATTCTCTGTGTAGAAAGAAAAATTCAAGAATGTGTTTGTACTCCTGCAGCGGCTATGCAATGTTTAAAAAGGAAGAGGGTATATGAGCAACAAGTTGAACAGCTTGGGAATTACCAGCTCCGTATTCATGATCAAGTAACCCTTCTTTGGAATTAACTTATCTAATGCAATGTTATTATACCATACGCGATAATTTGAATATGTTCTCTCCTTTGTAACCAGATGATTATGTTAGAAGGTGCTAAAGCAACAACAGAGACTGTAGATGCTTTGAGGACTGGTGCTTCTGCGATGAAAGCTATGCAGAAAGCAACGTATGTGTTTACTTTTAGCCAGTTTATGATTGAAGCAGTGGCTCAGTGTGTGCATCTTTTTTTTAACATACAGTATGTTTTGCAGAAACATTAACGATGTTGACAAGACAATGACTGAGATCAATGAGCAGACCGATAACATGCGGCAGATCCAGGACGCATTGTCTGCTCCATTTGGATCTGATTTCGATGAGGTAGACTTTTTCCCTTCATTTAGAAAACACACACACAATCTTTTATCACCTTATCTCAACATTGTCTTTACAGGATGAATTGGAAGCAGAACTTGAAGAACTTGAAAGCACAGAGCTAGACGAGGAACTTCTTGAGCCAGTAAGACCTGTTCAAAACCTTCCTGAAGGAAAGCAACCGTCTCGTCCTGCAACTCAGAAGAAACAGACCGCTTATGAAGATGAACTGGCTGCATTACAAGCTGATATGGCTCTCTAAAAGGTCCTCAACTTTAAATGTTAAAAACAAACTAGGGTTTTGGTTACTGCAGTGCAAGCTGGTCTTAAAAGATGAGGTTTGTGTGTGCATTATTTAAAGAACTCTTATTTAAACACGGAGAGAGAAAAAGATTTTATGTGTATAAGGATCATGAGCTTTTATTTATTTAAATTTTTTTTTCTAATTCTTTTATTTGGTTACGACTTGGTACATCCCATAGCTAATTACATGCTTGCAAATTCAATTAATTCAACACTATAAACGACTTCTAGTGAGTATCTTTCAACTAGTTGATTTGCACATCTTTTGAGTAGTTGATATATTAAAGCAGTATCTAAGTTATGATGTCAATCTGATTCGGAATATCCATAACTACTTACTAATTTTAGTTAGCATTTTTTGTGTGTGATATTCAGTGCAAAGGTTTTAGCGGTCCTAAGAGCATCTCCAAAAAGACTTAAAGTTTCAAAAACTCTATATTTGAAGTTTTAAGGTGTTCTTCTCCAAAAGAAAAACTTCAAATTTAACTTCAAAATTATCTCTATTTTACATTTTGATCCTTATATTTGTCATAGTTAATATAAATTCATAAAACATTGATAAATAACATACACATATATATAAATTACACAACAATATTAATTAATAAAATCTTACACTAAAATATAAAATTATAAATACAAAAACATGATTATTACAAATAGAATACCACATGTTTGTTGTCTAATTTTAATTTTAAAATACTAAACTACAAGCAACTATTTTAAATTTTATTATAAATATTTATTTAGTTTTATGTCTAAAACTTAAATTTATAAAAGGTAAAGTTTAATTTGAAATATTTATAAGATTTAAAAAGTTTTATGGATTAAAACAATAAACAAAAAAAATATTTATGAATTCTAATTTTTATTTGTAATTGTAAGGACCAAAATGCAATTAAAAAGATGAAACTTCAAATTTAGAGTTTTGAGTATTGAAACTTCAAATATAGAGTTTCACTCTTAAAAACTTCAAATTTGAAGTTTTGAGGTTTCTTTTTGGAGAACAAAAAACTCTATATTTGAAGTTATAGAGTTTCTTTTGGAGATGCTCTAAGGCAGTTTTTCAAATGGGTTTTCACAAGTTTTTGTGTATGTTTACAGTTAACTGTATGATAGATATTGTTTATATGTTTGTAAATAAAGTCTAATATTGCATAAACTGAAATGTGTATCATCAGTTAAATTTCGTTCATAAATATGAATGTAGAAAAATTTTAATAGGAGGCATAACTAAAATTATTTAAAGAACTAGAGGTAAATTTGCTATATAAAGGGGCAAAACTGAAATTATTCTTTGTTTTACCTAAATTATTCTTTAGTGATAAATCATTTATTCTTTCACTATTTCAATTTAATCACACTTAATTCTAGAGAGTACTATAGTGACATAAATACCAAATCAATTATTTTACAATTGGTCATTTCCATATATCATTGGGAAATTACAATTTTTTAAAGGAAAAACTTGGTTAAAAATGAATCTTTCTGACTAAATATTTTTTCAAAATTGATTAGGTGTGGTCCATCTGAGTCTATAAACTGGTGTGATCCTTATCTTATCTTATCTATTAAAACAGAAATCATGATTTTTTCATATGTGATTATTTAATTTAGATCATTTTTAGAAATTTTATTAAGAATAATAATATATATAATATTTGAACTACTTTAATCATAATATTTTTTATATCTTTATATTTTAAATACTAGTATTAAGTTAAAAATTCTAATAAACCTCTTTCAAAAGATTTTGACAATATATTATTTTTAGTTATATGTAAATATTTTCACTAATTACGTCTTAGTTTATATATATATATATAAATTCTAACAAATATTTGGAAAATAATTTAACAATATATTAATTTCAAATCTTTATGTAAATAATTTCACTAATTTCGTAATTAGAAATACACTATTATTATGCATTAATATATTTCAGTTCTTGTTTATAAGATTAAAATTAAAATTATATCCTATTTTTATATATTATTTAATCATAATAAATCATATAAAAAGAAAACTATTATATTGAGGTAAATCTGGTAAAACTATACTAAATAGATAAATTTATATATATATATATATATATATATTCATAAGTATAAAATATTTATGTTCAAAAATATCATATATATTGGTAAGACAGACTAACATTAGCAAACTATATAAAAGTCTAAGATATGTTAATTTTTATACATGTATTATATAATTTGAAGGACATGTCCAAATAACATAATTAAATATAAAATAATTTCAAATATGTTGTTTCATGTATATATTAATTTGTTTAATAACTAAATCCAAATACAATAACATAAATATATAATAAAAAGTGACAAGTACATGTAACATTTGAAAAAGTTATATCAACATTTAAATATCAGATTAAAACATATATCACTAATAAACTAAAATAAATATTTATGTATATAAAACTAAAAATAAAGGTTGCGCGGATTAGAAATCTAGTAAGTTAGTTAAAAATGTTATTTAAATAACAAAAAAAAGAAACAGTTAACCAAACCCAGTTTTTGAACCGATTGGTTTGAACCTTCAAATCGAATCGCAACTGAAGACCAAAAATTCTGGCTAGATTTTATTTGAAATCCAATCCACTGTTACTCTGTTAGGATTGAATCCTTTCTTTTGTTCTCTTTCTTTTTGTTTGGACTAGTAGAAAGTCAAAAGGGTACTGGTTATGGTCTAAATTCTAAAACAGTGTAGAGCACTAGTCTCCCCCATTTCTAATGATAATTTATTACTAAGCTCTACGCGTGTTCTCTCTCTAATCCGTCACTGGACCATGTCAAAAGTTTCTTTGTTAAAAATGTTGATTTTCTTAACACTAAAAGCTTCATTACCATTGCAAGAACTTATACATGCGTCGGATGCATTTGTGATACTTCAAGCCAGCATGTACAACACCTCTAGACACCAAAAGCTAGCGGAACATAGAACAATCATTCAGTAGAGACTAAAGCCAGCAGACAAAAGTCATGTATCTGGAGACCATAAAATGACTAAACAAGCTTTGAATCTAACAATACTGCTCTGATGTGAAAATCAATCTGGAAAAGGAGGAGATGAAAGCAAAGAAATCTTCAATTGGTAACCAAGAGAAAAACTCTGTCACATCACATCCCACGGGCATTAATGACTACATGTGGAAGATATCTTCACCCTTCTTCTTCTCTATCTGTTCTTGTTTTTTTCATTGTGGGAGAAGTTGTAATACTTTAAATAGTAATGCATATCAGAAACTAAAGAAACACTCATGTAGTCATGTTCATTGTTTATGTAAGCCCCCATTATCTTCTCAAGGCAATTTTTCTTTTTCTTTTTGACGACAGTTCTTACGGCAATTTAAGCACTTCAATTAGCATCATTCAAATCCAAATATTTTTCTAATAATCCCCTAAGTATTTTGAAAGTTTAAAAGTAATTTTACTCTCTTTCTTGGTTAACGTGGACCGTCCACACCGACCATTCATTGGTCGGCGAAACACAATGTATTTGGACATGTACTATATGTTTTTTAAACCTTTCAAGAAAACACACAAAACCTTGTTCCGATCAATGTTTATGGTTTAACGGGAACTTAGTGCTAAGTATCATTAAATTAACATAATTAAAAATAAACATAAAACAACTAGTAGAGGGAGTGGTTATGAGCTCAAACCACTATAAATAGAGTGTGGTTGAGCTTTCTAAATCATCAATACTCACAACTTACAAAGCAAAGCATTTTTCGCAATCAAAAGTGTGTGTTTACTTAGTTTTTTGGTGTTAGTTACTTGTTTTAAGAGATGGCGGATCATCCTCGTTCAAGTGAGCAACAAGAAGCTGATGCCGCAGCTTCCAAAGGTTGTGGAATGTTTGACTTTCTCAAGAAGAAACCTGAAGATGAGCATGTCTACGTGACTGACGCGACCAAGGAAAAGAAGGAAGATGAGAAACCTTCTCTCGCGGAAAGGCTTCACCGTTCTGGCAGCTCTGTAAGCTTATGTATATGTATACACATTTATATTTATAACTCAATGAGAAATGTTAATAACACTTGTTGTTTGATGATGTGTTATGTATCTAGTCGAGTGATGAAGAAGTGGATGAAAATGGGGAAAAGAAGAAAAAGATGAAAGGATTGAAGGAGAAGGTGTTTGGTCACAAGGATGAAGATGTTTCTGATCATCAATATAAAACTGAGGAGAAGAAGGGTGTCACGGAGAAGATCATGTTGAAAGTTCATGCAGGTAAAGGGACTCATGACCAAGCCAACAAGCATGAGCATGAAGATGGGGAGAAGAAAGGGTTTATGGAGAAGATGAAGGAGAAGCTTCCTGCAGCTGGAGGTCATCATGACCAAGCCAACAAGCCTGAACATCAGGAGGATGGGAAAGAGAAAGGGTTTATCGAAAAGATCAAGGAGAATCTTCCAGCATCTGGAGGTCATCATGACCAAGCCAAGAACCATGAGCATCATGAGGATGGGAAGGAGAAAGGGTTTATGGACAAGATTAAGGAGAAGCTTCCTGGAGGTCACAATGGAAAGCCCGAAGTTGAGCCTCATCATGAAAATGGTAAAGAGAAAGGGTTTATGGAGAAGATCAAGGAGAAGCTCCCTGGTCATATGAAGCATGATGACAGTGATGAGAAGAAAAAGGAAACTTAGTCGTTAGAAAACCCTTTTTACTTTCTTGAATCAGCTTCTTCTTTTTTTCTTTCTTTTTCAGCACTTTGCTTCATCATGTTCTTGTATTGTGATCACCTCATCATGTCAATGAAATGCGAACTTTCCCTTTGAAAACTCATGAATGCATGCCAATTTGTTGTGTTCTCTTTAAAAGCTTTGTTTCAACTTCCATCGTCTCTGTAAGATAAGAAGAACCCTAAATCCGATTTCACTTCTCTCAAATCCGCCTTTAAGAAGATAGCTGAAAGAGCAACTCCTAAATCTAAGCAATTCTAAGTTGCTATTACATTTTGTTAACATGTATAGTTTGATTGAATGTTCAATTTAAATTTCAAAAACCCTGATTACCAATTTTCTCATCCCTTCGGAGTTTGCAACCCCCAAGACATCGAAGAGATAATGAACACCAACAAGTCAAGTCATCAAATGGGGGATATACTAAAACGGCCTCTCATGGGTTTTGAGGACAACTTGATAGGAATGATGCTTAAATGAGAAGTAAATGAAAATTGAATGCTTGAGGTTAAAGAGCTCCAAATGGTTATTCATGGTAGTTGGAGAAATTGATGATAGTGACATTGTCGTAAATAAAAAAATATTTAAATTGTTTATGGTTGTTTGTCATTTTCAAAAGTAAAAAAATAATTATAATGATATTTTTCTAAATAGTGAGAAAACCTAAGGATTGTATAGAGAAATTATGGCAAAATATATTTTCCTGACAAAAAAAAAATTTAAATTTGCATTGACTTCAATTTTTGAGTCATTTTGTGCAAAACTCCCCTCACGTAATGTGGCTCTATAGTTTGATTTTTTTGGACAAATCACGGTTTTTGCAACGAAAGCAATGCACAAAGCAACCTAAGACCCGCTCCTAAAGAAAAAGCAATCTGATTGTCAACCCAGCTCATAAGCAATTCACAGGCCGGCCTGGACTAAAGTCCGTGAAGCAAAGGCTTTAGGCACCAGAATAAATAGATATTTTGGGCACCAAATCATGTAAAATTCATTGTAGTCTAGTGGGTTTTATCCTTCCTTTTCATTTTAGAGTTAAAAGGTTCGCAGTCCTCTTTCTGTTTATGTAGATTACTCTGTTTTACTAAGATTCATATTTTAAGATTTTCAAGGATATTAAAAAAATTGTTGATATGTCTATTTTAACCATTTGTCATTATTACTAAAAGGAATAAAAATATCAAAGATATCTAAGTTAAATAAATTAATCGATTAACTTTATCATTGTTTTGCTTTTATTGCACTATATCAGTTTCCCATATTTAAGATTCCCATATTTCATATTTAATGTGGTCAAGATTATATTTAATGAAATTTTACATTTTCTTGACTTATTGTTTCACGTATACAATGTGAACTTGCTTTGAAAAAAAATAACTTTGGAGCCAAAAGTTTTAAAACTCAACTCAAAATTTGATTTTAGTACCAAACTAAGTGACTATATATGGTTGAAGCATAGGAAGGATTATCTTCATTCTATATATGGTTGAAGCATAGGAAGGATTATCTTCATTCATATCCATTTTTTCTTTCACATATTGTAAAGCAACTCATGAACTTATAAAGAAAAAAAAAGTTTTTATAAAGAAAAAAAAAAGTTTTTATGAAAGATTTTTTTTTATAGAATACGATTAGAGCTTTTAGATGGATATAAAAATCATGTAGTCTATTTGACTTCACTTTAAACGAAGCATTACAGTGTTGAATAAGATTTATTTATGTGTACAATATTAATAGTTGTAAATTATTTTATTCTACATAAAAATAATAGTAAGTGAGGATAAAACAGGTATTTTTAGACTAAATATGCATAGAAAACTAAGAAAATACATCTTTTGAAACTTAGTTTTTTTCTAAAATATAGATCTTAATGAAACAGAGAGGGTAAACATTAGCATTTTTTTTTCTGAGAATAGTAACAAAAGATTTATCCACTCAAATATATTAAAAAAATTTAATCTGTTCCAACGACTTTAATTTCTTTCACTATAAAAGCACTAGCGTTTTGTCCGCACTACGACGGATTGTATTTTTAAATTTACTAGATCCTTTATCCGCGGATTACATCTTACAAAAATAATTATTTTTTAATTATAATTTAAATTGTTTAACAAAATATGTAATCAAAAACAGAAAGATGTAGAATGTAATAGATAATTTAGTTTTTGCTTGCTGGAATTTCTACGAACAATTTCTATTTTTATTTTTGTGTGTTTTATTCTAAATCACAATACAATTTATTTTAATTAAAATAAATTCATGTTTTTTATGTTTATATGAAATTTATATGTTTAACAATTTCATATAAATAGTAATTATAGACATTTCCGAACAATTTCTATGTTTTGTTTTATGTTTATATGAAATTTATATATGTGATAACTACGAATTTATGATTTAATATGGTCATTTATTTAACTAAGAGTTTTTAAGATATTAAAAACATCTATCAAACTATGTCATATTTTCCATTGGTCTACTTTGAAATAAATTTATTTATTTGTCGTGTTTATTAATTCATGAGTATTAGTTTATAGACTTAAAATTATATATGATTAACTGTATATCACTTTTATAAATGATTATAATGTTGTGTTCATATGTGATTGGTACTGTTCATTTTACAGGTAAAAAACTAATAAAAATAATAAAGATTAATAAAAAATAATAAAAATACATAAAAAATCAAATAAAATTGCAAAAAATCTAAAAGTTCAAAAATATAAAAATTAAAATATTCTCTTTCATTGTATTATAAAATTAAAAGATTCTCTTTCCTTAATTAATTTGTATTGTAGCAATTGGACTATTCTATTTTTGTTAATCTTAATTGTTTTTTTTATTTAACTTCAACAAATATTAGACACAAAAATTCGAAAAAATTTAGGTGAGTTTCATTTTTTTTATTTTGTTGACATGAGTTTGATGAAACATGGATATGCTGTTGTAAATGTATTTTCTCTTTTAATATTTTTTTTGATATTCATTCTGAAGTGATATTTTTGATTATATTACGTATTCTCACTAAACCATTATTTGTTGACTAAATATTTTCGCCAAGCTCAAGTTATGCTAAGTATTTCCACGAATTAGTTTTTGAATGGTAATGTTGTGTGAATATAAAATATTACAGAAGCATCATATGCGTATAAAATGTACTATATAGAACATAGTATATGAGAGGAGACATGGTATGCTTTTTTGTTTGAATGTTGCATATAGATTTTCTCATTTTTGTAGTAAATTAATTTTCTTAGTTTGAAAAAATTCCAAACTTGAGTTTAGAATAAACACAATATGTTTGGTCAGAAAAAAAGATAAAAAACAGTGTGGATAATTGCGGAAGCTCTTATTAGATGTGTTTCTGCGACGGTTATCTTCTGAGATAAGGTGTAGATGAGAGGTGTTGCTCTATGACATGTATTGAACATCATGCTCTAATCTTTTTATGTTTTTGAAGTCATTGGCGATTTTTATTGTCTTGTTAAAGTAAAAATGTGCTACTTATTACATCTAATAAAGTTTTTAACCAGTATGTATTAGATTAAAGTTTCTATTAATTTTTACCCTATATATTATAGTAATAGTGTTTGTCACTCCTTTTTCTTTAGTTTTCACCTGGGTTTTTTTTTTTTTAATTTAAAGCCTGAAATATTTAAACTTCTTCCAATTGATCGCAGATACTTTCTACAAAACACTTTTAAAACCCAATTCATTAAGATAATTGTAACGCCAACTTCTTTCTTCATTGTTCCACCAAAGTGGCTACCTAGTTTCATCGTATCATCATCTATGCATTGTAATGAATGAAATTTCAGTATACACTGGTCATAAACAAATAATATATAACCCATAATTATTTTACCCATTAGAAATGAACACCGTCATTATCTCCAAACTGCTCAAGTTTTATGTTAGAGACGAATGTAACATTTAAAATTGTAGATTCAGTAACAATTCTAAAGATATTAGGTTAAAAAGAATCAAGTATTTACCTTGAAAATATTCTCAAGAAATAAGGATCACCACCAGCGAGCAATCTTGATCCACCAGTTTGAAGATCAAGGGCACAAATAGAACTGCTCTCGCTATCAGCAATATATGCTTTCTTCAATCTGCAATAATTTCCATCCCTTGCTAACCTTTGCAACAGTTCAAAGTGAAACTTTGAACTGTTGAAGTTTATTGTTATTACTAGGGCCTAATGAGATTCCTGAAGGCTGAGCAAATGATGTCGTTTGAGGGATGTAACAATGGAAAATAAACCATTAAAAGGAAGCCAACAAAAGGTACAAGACATCAAAATGATCTCTACTCTCTCGTTGACAAAATCAATTTCCCTAAGAAGAACTCCAAATTAAGATCTCTACACCAAAAAAAAAAAATGATATTCTTGTTTGTTTTATAATCAACAAAAGGACCTACATACCTCAAAGCATGATTCTCGGTGTCAGCAACATAATGAAGATTCTTCTATGCATTATAAGCAAGTCCCTGCAAAAAATGTGTAGAACAATAAAGCCATGGTTTGGAACCTATTGAGAAACAACTATTACAAAATTAGACTATCATATATACCTGAGGACGATTGAATGCAGAATCTTCAAAGGAGCCATCACGAAACCTTCCTAATATCACTCAAATTACCCTAAGGAGTGAATTACTCTCTCAAATAAGAGATTCGGTTGTAGTATTTAGGGATCTAATCACGAAGAGCTAGGGAACCAATTAAATCTAGCAGTTATGAATTATCTAGGTACATAAATTATAAAGCATGAAATAATGCAAGCAGTAAATAAAACAATAAACAAGATGAACAAAAAAATTGTTCAGCTTGGCAAAGGTTTATTTTATGGAAGGATGGTTGCTAGATCTAGGGTTTCTATTCAGGTATTGGAGATTATAATCCTATAGATGATGTTCAGTTGCTTGCGAGGTACTATAGAGCATTAACTATCTTTAATCAACAAATCTATTACACTCTCATTTGAATAAATAAGTCTAATGACTGGAAGATCGCAATTGACAGTGCCGATCGATTATTCTATAGAGGAACATCGGTCGACACACTAAACTCATCATCGATCAATTTCCTGTCGAAATAACGATCCATGAGTTCGGTCGAGCATTACACACAATTTAACATAAACTCACTAAAGACTTCTAAATCAAACTATCATTATATTTCTAACAATATTAGATTAATAGGGATGTGTTCAGAACTATCAGAATTGCTTAAATGTCTTTAATCGAACCTAAATAATCCAAGATTCAATGCTTCTAGTTAGCTACTCTAGAATCATGAGCGTTAAGAACATCCTATTAATGAATACCACAACAAGCAATCTTATAGTTGGGGCTAATCCCTTTAACCTATTTGAACCATAAACCTAATAGGTGGATCTACTCTAACATGAAATTTGTCACAGAAATCATGAATAGAACAGATGAATAATATAGAATAGATAAAATATGAAAAGCAATCAAGAACCAAAGAATCAAAGGAGTTCCAGGAGGAATCTTATGGAGTTCCTCCCTTCTCTCTTAGAACTTAGAACAATGAAACAAAGCTTAGGTAATCTCTCTTGCCATCAACAATAGCTTACAAAACAGATAAATAGGGTTTCTGTTCGTCCAAGGGAATTCTGGTAATTTGTGGTAACTCTTGGGCTCAAGTCGGTCTTGAAATATACTCGGCCCGCGTTCTGGGATCTCCATCGATCGACACAAAGCTTCTCGACAGCTTCCTCTCGCGAGGCAGACTGACCACGCTTAAGATGGGCATAACTTCTTCTATAGGATGCTGATTGACCTCAACCCAGCGGCATTGGAAAGATAACTCAACACTCTATGTTGTGTCAAAAGATGGGCGAAATATAACGGTGGGAAGGTCTCTATCCATAGCTAAACATCTGACGCGTCTGTGCAGTTCTGCACTCAAAAGGCCACAAAAAACACCAAAATCACCATATTTCTCCCAAACGTACCTGAACCTATAAATACTCTGAAAAGACTTCAAAACATATATATATCTTAAAACGCTGATATACCATGGCTAATAATGGGTAAAATCCTTGGTATATCACTTCTTCTCCGCTACTACCGACGTGGACGTTGAAATTTCCATCAAGATCAGTTACAATGTAAAAAATCTCACTGCATTTTTTCATGCTTGGTCTGGAACCTCTATGAGGATCTAGACATTGAAATTCCATCTCCAACACCTTCTCTAGTGCTAAGTTGTTGGCTGGATTCCGGTCTAGCTTCGGGTCCAATACCGGTCTCCACTCGTGAACTTCTTGATGGCCTGAACAGATCGATCAGTTACAAACCGTCAACCAAAAATACGAATCAAACGTACATACTAATATGATTGAGATATATTGAATTTTTTTTACCCATCTAATGGTGATGCGTTGTTTTTGTTCTCTATTAAGCTCAATGGGACGCTTTTCTCAGTGAGCTGATAGGTAATTAAGTACTCAGGGTCTTTAGTAACCAGCGGTTCCTTTGTCTTGTGTGGAGACATGAGTGGCTTGTGATTCAGTATCTGGAGCTAATCTGGCGAACCACAAATGAACAACCTTGGCTCTAAAGCTGTCAGTGAGTAGAATGTTTGATGATTTAATGTCTCTGTGGATGAGAGGTGGCTCTATAGACATAACAAATAAGTAATCATTATTTTCATGGAAGAAATGAAATATAATGTAAATAGAGTGAACTACGTGTATACATGTGAAGATAAGTTATGGCATGAGCAATATCGGTTGCGATATCTAGTCGAGTTGCCATGTCGAGAGTCTTTCCATCCTTACCTACAATTATCAGATTCATTTAAAATAAGATTGTGATTGACATAAATGTTTCTAAAGAGGGAGAATGTACTACTGACAATCCAAGTGATCTCTGAGATTTCCATTGGGAACATACTCCACAGCCACAAGCTTCTCGTCGTTGTGAACCAAATAACCATAGTATTTGACCAAACTCAAATGAGTGACTTGAGCCAATGTCTTAATGTCGCTCATGAACTCTGCACCTTGATGGTCGACTTTGTGCAAACTCTGCGAATAAAGATGTGAGAGCGTTTGTAACTCTATATATAGAATAAAAAAAAACAGGATTGAAGACCTTTTTGGCACGTTGGACAACAACGGTGGAGCCATCATGAAGTATCATATGAGGTCGTCTCCTCCATTAATCAGCATAGAAATAATTAAAGACCACATTAAACCAAAAAAAAATTAAACCAAAACCTAATTAACAAAAACCAAAGCCGCCTCCATCCATCAAGCTCCTAGGATTCAGGTGTCTTCTCCGCCTTATCCGTTCACAACCACCACTGCCTCCTCCGCCGCTGCCGTCTCTGCTCATGACCACCAACTTTGTTCACAAACGCCTCCATTACTCACGGAGTCTTCAATGATCATGAACATAAGCTCTGTCACCTTGCGCCAATACTCAGAACTTGCGCCGGCCTTGATCTCTCCCGTCTCAGATTTCCGAAAAGTTTGAATCTTTTTGCCCGGTTCATGTTTCCGTACCCAAACGGGTTTCTACCGAGAACCTCGAATGAAACCCCATCAGATTTGTTTCCGCCGGCGAAGGGTTTTAACTAGAGGGAGACGTGCCGGTTTGAGACTGTTAAGTCGTGGGTGATGAATTCCTCTCCTCTTCCGAAGATAGCTTTATCTCCAGGTTTTAGGTTGAGCTTGGTGCCTCTAAATCACAGAAAACCCATGTCGAATTCAATAAACTCATCAACCCCACATATCTATGGTTAGAAATCCTGGTAGAGTTTCGATTTTGAAACCGATCGCAAAGAGAGTAGGCAAAGTGTGGAAGAAGACGAATCAGGAGAGAAGAGGAGAGGAGAAGAGAAGAGACCTTAACCTAATCTTATCGGTTTATCACTGGATCTCGTACCAAAACGGGTTTCAGGCCTAAAGAAAATCAAGGAGAGAAGAGCTTTACCTCATCTGGACAGATCGTTACTGGACCTCCCAGCAAAACAAATTTCAGGCCCAAAACTAAATCTAGCCCAACCAAATGCATCTGATGTGGCAGAATGAAATGTCCCTATTAGTTGAATATAATAGATGACAGGGACAACTTCAAATGCTTTATATTGGCCTTTTATTTATAGTAGATATTGTGATCAATATATTTTGTTCTATTTTTTATAAAAATTAAATTAAATTAAAGTAAATTATAGAAGCTATTAATAATAGGTGTCCATAGTTGCAAATGCTTTGATACTGCTTTAACACTATTGTTTTTTTTGTCAACCCATTTAACTCTTTGAACTTTTGGTGTACAATACATTTAGTGACTTTGCAAGGATATTATATATTTCTGATTATTTATCCTAGCTTATTTTGCGAACTGGTCTACAACACCTAAAAGGATCCTAGGAGCATAATGGAAACTAAAGTGTTGATTGGACGCAAATACTCTGATATCCTGAAGCATAGCATGATTTGTAGTTAACATCTTTTTCTGTTTAGTTTCGCCATTAATAGTAGCATCCAAGCTTTTTATCAGCTCCTTACAATCTTTTAGGAAGACCACGCTGTTGTAGGACAGCATATGGATTTGATGAACAGCATGCCACATCGCAATTGTTTCCGCAGCCAAAGGTGAATGAGCAAGTTCCATGGCAGCACTTCCTCAAGTCTTTGAGTGCCTTCTTTACTAAACAAAGATCACCCAATACCAATTTTTCATTAAGATACTTCCATGAAGCATCTTCAATGCAATAGGGTTTGCATCCATTGTAATCGCTTCTTCCCACAGTTTAACATCCATTACCGCAGTACGTATAGTGTGAGTGATATGTTTTTTTTTTTCAAACACTATCTTCTTCCTCGATTTCCAAATTCTCCACCCCAGGAAGAGCAAAAGCCTAGCATGTGAATCCGTGTGCATTCCATCTAGCACGTATTAAAGTAAGCTGAGAGCAGTGCTATAATAATCAATATTAAAATTAGAGCCCTGCATCCCACGAGACCATATTTCTCTAGCAACTCGACAATGTAGGAGCATATGGTCAGTACTCTCCTCATGTTCCCCACAAACCTGGCATGTCGATTCTATTTTAGCCCCTCTTATTTTCAAGTTTCTGGCTGCAGGTATTCCATCATGAAGTATCTTCCACCAGAAAATCTTGATCTTAGGTGGTATATTTGCTCTCCATATTTTGTTGATCGTATTAGTCCAGGTTTGAGATTGGGGCTGAAACTGATTTTGCTGAGATTGAGTCTCTTTATCTAGTGCCCTTTGAATATAGTATCCAGATTTGACTGTGTAGGTGCCCCATTTATTGTTAAACAAATGCTATTCACGATAAATGAAATCAGCAAAAAAAATTTTAAAATGTGATAGCATGAAAAAAGATAATTTCATAAGAATACTAAAAATTAAAAGTAAATGCCTAACTTCTTATTTTTAGAATACATACAATATTTTAATAAATTAGTTAAAAGTCCGAAAAACTAATTAAAAATTATTCATTGGTTTATTTGATGATTCAGTCGATAGTCGAATCACTGGATTTAAGGGTTTTTGGTGGATTTTATTGGGATTTTTAATTAGTGAATACTTCTTAAAATCCAAATCAGATTAGTTACCGGATAACGTGATTTAGCGGTCTTAATGTGAATCCGGATCGGACGTGAAAACACAGACTAAAAAAGTATATTACTTTTTTATTATTAAAAACTTATATTATTATATAACTTTCCCCAATAAAAATATTTTCTAGATTTGCTACAGTTCCATGAGACGGATAAGTCCATCCACCGTGTCATAGACATTAGAACTGTAAGTCTGTGTCCTCGGTTTCTGAAATTTCAATGCTTCACCTCCAAATGTTTGAGCCCATCATAGAGGTTCATCCGAGAACCATATGAGTTTAAAGGTGTAGCTATGCGGATTTCTACAAATCGAAAACGGACACAAAGAAACTTAATGTTAAGTGATTCAATGAGTTTAGGAGTAGCACATAAAAGTGACCAATTTCATGTCTCATCTACTTCGAACACTTCTTATAACTAGCAACCAAAGAGACATTTCATTATTAAGATGAAGAACATATGGAACTTACCAATATGGTTTAAATTCCCCAATAGCTCTCCGGTTGACGGTGGATGAGAGGATCTCCATACACTTCCGAGGTCGAGGTGCGTAGAATTCTGTCAAGAGAACAACAAATGTTAAAGAAAAATGTGAGAAATTCAAAAGAAGATTTCATTAAAAATATGGAACACGAACCTTGCTCCAACATGCTTGGGAAGACTGAGAATTAATATGCATGACCAGAAAAAATAGTTTTCTAACGTTCAATACATGAATGCCAATTCTCTCGGTATCATAGCGATTCCTCTGAAGTAAACATGTAATATTACATTGGTTGCGTTTAAGCATAAAATCTTCGAATTCAACTTTGAAATATGAACAAAATGGATTGGCAGACATTTATACATGTCTAGATCACTGAATTTGTGCCTTTTGCTGTAAATATTTTATATATAGTAAATTGGTGGACGTTTATAAACAATTTATCTTGCATAAGTTAACAAATAGAATATTAGATAATAAATTCTCAAAAATATATATATTTATAAGGTATATTATTTTGGGAATATCTCTGAAATAGATAGCTAGAATCAAAAACATCATCATCCAAATCCAAGAAAAGTAAAAGAAAAAACAAGCTTAAAGAATCTTAGAAGCGCTCACTATGTAAATATCCTCTGACGAAGAAAAATACATAACTCAAGAAACAAATATGTAAAACGAAGACCAATACAGCGACCCATCATCACAAGACCAGTACAAAATAGATAAATATATATATCAATATATATCATTAGAAGATTTTCAGAATTGTTCGAATGATATTTGAATTTGTAAAACAATAAATGTAAGTAGAACACCTAAGTTTATTTCAGAACATACTTGATTTAATTATTTATTTTTGTTTTATTTATTATTATTAGATCACTTAAGTGTTTTCTATTTGTTGATATTTTAGTTCTTGTTGTAAATAGTGGATATATTTGTGTTTTCAGTTTATGAGGTTTATATATTTTTCTATAGTAGAATTTTGTAAAGCTAATATTTCTTTGGTTTTCATTGGAGATAAAAATTTAAATATAATTTTCTCTCCAAATATGATTTTAGTAATTCCTACTTTGTGACTTTAAATGGATAATTTTGTGTAAAAAATGGAGTTCCTAATATGATTTCTTAGCTTGAATTCTTAAAAGAATAAATTGTGTTTTAAAATAATATCTTTTATTACAAATTTTTGCTTTTGGTAGTTTATAGTTTACTTCTAAACTACTTCCATTTGTCCCATTAAGTTTCTCACATTACTTAATTGGAACTATTCATTCTCTAATATAATTGTAGTCTGTGTCTGAGTCTGTGTCTAGAAATCTATTATTTCTAATTTAGGATCATAGCCTATATGTAAGGTGATTTATGTGTACCATTTTTGATAATTTATTTTATCTGTTATTTGAATATATTCTTCTTCATCCTTAGTTTCCATTGGTTTTACATGGTTATTTGTGGATGGGGTAGTAGGTGATGATTGGTGAAATTTCGGTATGATTAAAGCTATTTTGGTATTAATTTGTAAATGTTTTAGTTGTGTTTGGTGTACTATGTGTTGTAGTTTTTTTATTTAAACTTTTAAATTTTTTTCTTCTCTTTTTAACTTTTCAGTAGTGTATTTATTTGGTTAAAAAGTAGGAGAGGATATTTTTTTCCATTATCTTGCTAAGGTTAAAAAATTTAGGAGTAAAAATGTTTTTTTTAATGTACAAAATCTTTTAGTTTTAGAAGATATTGTTTTTTTTTTGTTTTTAGGTCATTTATTTTATCAATTATATCTATCAAAAGTTGCTTTTTCGGAAAGAACAAAATATATTGTTTAAATTTCATATGAAAAGGGTTTCAATGAGAAAAATATTTCAACTAAAGCTAGACCTGTGCAAATGAATCAAAAAAAACTAGAGCATTTTAGAAAGGAAATCCAAAAATTATCAAAGAAATATTAATTTAAAAATTTAAATCACTTTGGAGTTATTCAGACTTTTATGTAAATAATCAAACAAAAAAAAAGGAATATCTCGCTTAATAATTAACTATAAACCATTAAATAATGTATACAATGGGTTAGATAGACAAATGCCCAAAAAATAACATCCTATTATTATGCATACAATCTTTTTATTGATATATCCTAATATAAATATTTAATACATGATTTTGAATTAATATTCATGGATTTGATATTTAATTTTTACATACATCTAAACAAAATTATCATACAGATCATAATTCAAATGTTATATTCATTTATAGTACTTTTGTGAATAGTAAAACTATAACTTATGAATATAATAAGTTATTATTTAAATATTAAATATATATTTATAAGTGAAGAATAAATCTAATGAGTAGGTTATAATAGTTTTTTCTGTGAAATGATTGCAACAGTAATTTGAGAATCTCATTATAGAT